TGGGTCACCTTTTTGGAGAATTCCTTTTCCTTGTCACTGAGTGCTTGGGTTTTCTCTTGCTCAAGAAGAAAATGTGATCTTCTCTGTTCCTCTAGAACGGATTCTGTCTGATGTAGTGAGTCTCGTAAAATTTTAATTTCTCCATTCTTAATGAGAACTTCTTCTTCCATTGCTTTCATCTGTAAATCCCAAATTAATCTTGTGAAATTTGTAAGAGAAAATTACTTATGTACTTTGTTTTAATATGTAGCTGGGGAGGTGAAGACAGCACAGGAAAAATATGTCCTACAGACCAATAAGTACTCAAAATATATCCACAGCAACCAGATGTCACCATGGTCTGCTAGGCCTGTTCATGGGACAGCTGATATTCATCAAGATAGCTTAAGGATATACTTGTCACTCACACATGCAGACTGTTTTGGCCAGGATGGGAATGGAGTTGCCTACGCTGGAGTGCTGTGGCACAATCATAGCTCAATGGAACCTTGACCTCCTGGGCTCAAGTGATCCTCTTGCCTCAACCTCTTAAGTAGCTAGGACTACAAAGCTTGTGTCAGTAGCCTGGCAAATATTTACTTTTATCTGTAGAGATAGGGTCTCATTGTATTGTCTAGGCTAGTCTTGAACTGATGAGTTCAAGTGATTCTCCCACCTTGGCCTCCCAAAGTGTTGGGATTACAGGCATTAGCCACCTTGCCTGGCTAGATCCTTTAGGCTCTAAGAGGCATTAACAATCTGGGTCAGCTGGGCGTGGTAGCTCATGCCTGTAATCCCAACACTTTGGGAGGCTGAGGCCAGGAGTTGAGACCAGCCTGGCCAACATAGTGAAACTCCGTCTCTACTAAAAATACAAGAATTAGCTGGGCGTGGTAGTGTACACCTGTAGTCCCAGCTAATCTGGAGGCTGAGGCATGAGAATCACTTAAAACTAGGAGGCAGAGGTTGCAGTGCGCAGAGGTCATGCCACTGCATTCCAACCTGGGTAACAGAGAGAAAGACTTCGTCTCAAAAAAAAAAAAAAAAAAAAACACAAATCTGGGTCACATACTTTGCAGAACTAAAATTTCACATTATGTTCCTGGTTTTCTTAGGGACCTACAGACGGTGATATGAAGGGTGTCTGCTTTCTTGCAAAGCTGCTAATGAAAATAGCAACCATTATGATGTTGTGTTCTTCACATGAAGATATATGCTATAAAATTGTCTCAGTGGCCTAACAGTTTGTATTTCTTTCTGGATCTGGTATACAGTGTTTTTCTTCTTGCCTTTCAGCCTAAACTTTCTGGCTGTCTTTCTCTAGTCTTTTCCCATGTCATAGTGATGAATGTAGACACTTGTTTTACAACTTTTGTATATTTTACTGTACAATGCTTTAAAACACAGGAATAAGTGAATGAATTAGCTACAAAAACCACAAGTTAAGTGTCACTTACCTTTTCTTTGAGTTCTTTGTATTGTGCCTGAAGTACCTCTAATTCGAAATTATCTTTAATTGGAACACTTTCTCTGTTTTTTCCTGCAGGATTTTTTGACATGCCATCTAATCTGTGGACCTTATGATCACCTGTAAAAAACAGTTCCATATACATTTCAGGACCCAACATTTTCCCACTTTTGCCAGAAAATGCTGAAAATACCCACTTTTTTTTTTTCTTTTTTGAGATAGGGCCTTGCTCTGTCACCCAAGCTGGAGTGCAGTGGTACGATCGCTGCTCACTGCCACCTCGACCCTGGGTTCAAGTGATCCTCCTGCCTTAACCTCCTGTGTCGCTGGGACTACAGATGTGTGCCACCATGACTAGCTAATTTTTAAATGTTTTGTAGAGATAGGGTCTCTTTACATTGCCCAGGTTGGTCTTGAACTCCTGGGCTTAAGCAATTCTCCTGCCTTTGCCTCCCAAAGTGTTGGGAAAATTTACTCTTGAGAACAAAGCAGAGAAAGATCTAGTAAGTAATACAGGTATTTTCCAGCTTAAGAACATGGTTCAAACTCATAAACAATTGCTGTCTCCTAGGCTGGAGTGCAGTGGCATAATCTTGGCTTACTGCAACCTCTACCTCCTGGGTTCAAGACATTCTCCCGCCTTAGCATCCTGAGTAGCTGGGACTATAGGTGCCCACCACCATTACTGGATAATTTTTGTATTTTTAGTAGAGATGGGATTTCACCATGTTGGCCAGGGTGGTCCTCTCTCTCTTTTTTTTTTCCCTCAGGCGGAGTCTCGCTCTGTTGCCCAGGCTGGATGGAGCGCAGTGGCGCAATCTTGGCTCACTGATACCTCTGCCTTCCAGCTTCAAGTGATTCTCATGCCTTACCCTCCTGAGAAGCCGGGATTGCAGGTGTCTGCCATCATGACTGGCTAATTTTAATATTTTTTAGTAGAGATGGGATTTCACCATATTGGCCAGTCTGGTCTCAAACTCCTGGGCTAAAGTGATCAGCCTGCCTTGGCCTCCCAAAGTGCTGGGATTACAGGCTTGAGCCACCATGCCCAGCCAAAACTCATAAACGATCTTCTAAAATAACAGATCCTATCACTATTTCCCTATCCCTCACCCAATTCCAAGAGTCTCACCTAAAGCCTGAAAGGTGCTGTGGAGATTTCACTGGCCAGAACTCAAGTGATCTATTTATTATCAACAATAATTAATGACCACAAACAATATGCCAGGCATGATGTTAGGCTCTAAAGGTATAATGGTGAGCAAAATTGACATGGTCCTTACACTCACAGAGCTTAAGGACATTCGACAAATAATCACACAAATCGATGTCAAATTACAACTGTGATAAGAACTGTAGAAGAGAACAAATACAGGAAAGCCTGTAACAGGACAGCAATCTGCCCTAAGTGAGATGATTGGAACATTTCCCTAAAGAAGACTGGAAGGAGCTGGGAGCTGAAAGACAAGTAGGAATTAACCAGATGACTGGAGATGAATGAATAGAAAGTATACTCAATGTACAAAGAAAGCAATGTATAAAGTAAGGAAGCAGAAAGAATTAAAAGAATGAAGAAATGTTAGTGTAGCCAGAACCCAGAGAGTGAGAAAGGGCCAAACCAGGCTAGACCTTGCAGGCCATGTTAAAAATTTTGGTCTTTATACTAGAAGCAGTGGGAAATCATTAAAGGGCTTTCAATAGGGGTGTTCATGGTGAGGCACGGTGGCTCATGCCTGTAATCCCAGCACTTTGGGACGCCAAGGTGGGCAGATCACCTGAGGTCCGGAGTTCGAGACCAGCCTCGCCAACATGGCAAAACCCCATCTCTACTAAAAATATAAAAATTAGCTGGGTGCGATTGTGGGCGCATGCAATCCCAGCTACTCAGGAGGCTGAGACTACTCGGGAGGCTGAGGCAGGAGAATTGCTTGTATCGGGGAGGTGGAGGTCGTAGTGAGGTGAGATGGCACCACTGCACTTTAGCCTGGGTGACAGAGTGAGACTCCATCTCAAAAAAAAACCTAAATAAATAAATAAAATTAGGGGTGTTCAGGTATATCTGTGTAAGACACAGCCAGATTTGAGTTTTGAAAAGGTCACTCAGAATGTGATGTGAAGCCTCACTTGTAGGGAGTCAAGATTGGAAATGGGAAACCAATTTAGTGGACTGTTTGTTCAAGGGAGGACTCATGGTAGCATACATCAGGCAGTTGGCAGAAGTGATGTGAACAGGATAGATTCCAGAGATGGATTAAGAAGGTAAGCTTGACAGGCTTTGCAAAGAAATTAGATGTAGAGTCAAGGAAAGGGGATGAGTCGCCTTGTGCCACTGGTTGGAGAGTGGTTCTAGTTACTTCCTTGTGGAATATCTGGTCATCATAGTGTGAATGTCTGCTTTGCCGGCACCATGCTAGAAATGTTGAAGGAGGACTGGGTTTCCAGGAAATGACTGTGTTGAGTTTAAGATGCCTTGAGACAGCCAAGTACAAATGCAAGGTGCACTCAAAACCTTTCTCTTTCTGGGAGTCCCTGAGGCTTCACTCAGAATGAAAGCTCCAGGAAGGGCAGAGTTTTTGTATTTCGTTCATTGTTAGGTCAGCTGCAGTTCCTCACATTTGGGCACCTAGCACAGTTTACTGGTTGTATAAAAGAATAAATTTATTTCATCTCTTGCCTGTGTCACGCTCCTCCCACGCTCACACTGCCGAAGGGAGACAGTGGGCTTCATAAGATCTAAAGCCTCTCAAACTTGTCACAAGAATGGGTCCCCATGCATGGGTAGTGATGATGATGGTGGTGGTAGGTGTGTTCCAAGGATCAGGATCTCTGCTTAGAATCAAGAATGAAGTGGCCCAAACTTTAGAAAATAAAATGTTAACCTAGCTTCTGTTTCAAATCGGCTGTTTGACCTTGATGATGCATTTCCCCCTAAAATCAAAGGACAGCCGTTTTGGAAGACAGCCGTTGCTTAAATCAGGGTGCTCCCATATTTTAAAAAGGCGAAAGGGAAGTGCTGGCCCCGAGGTTCCGAAGGCACAGCCATCAGGGGGATTTGGAGCGGTCTGCAACTCCCTCCGGGAAAAAGGCCGCGAGGAGCACTCACTGGACACGTCCCGAGCCGCGGCTGGACATTGGCTCAGGGCCTGTGACGCGAGGGTGTCAAGCTCCTCCAGGTCGTCGGCAGTGAAGTCCCCGTGCGCGCCGAACGGGTCGTCAGGGTCCGGGACAGTGGCCGCGGAGAAGCCCCGGGCCCGCTTGCTCGGGGGATGCTCGGTGCGGGGCGGCGGTCCAGGGCGAGGCGCCAGGGGCTCGCTTCGCCTCCTGCTGCCCGGAGCGGAGGTCCCCGCCATGCCTACCTCTAGCCCCAAGTATCAGACGGCGCCGAGCCTGACTTGCCTGCAGCGAGCCCCGAAAACTGGACCAACCGCCCGCGCGCCGCCGCTAGCCTCCGCCGCGAGTGCCCCGCCCCCGGCTCAGAGGCCAATAAGCCGGCAGGTGGTGGGACGCGGAAGAATGACGAACGTCCGAGTGCGCCGCCACGCCCCGCGGACGCCCGGGCGGCTAGGTGGCTGCTCCGAGGTCAGGGGCAGAGGTTCTGCAGGTTTGCGACGAAGACTTAGGTGCGGCGCGACGCGTTATCGGAGAGGCGGGCGGATCCGAGGCGCACCAGCTCCGTCGCGCGGGTGGCTTTGCGTTCTCTCCCTGGCACTTCGTGGAGGAGGGCCGCGCAGGAGCAGCTTGCCCTAGCAGTCACGCATGTTGCGTTTCCGTCGAGCCAGGCAGCATTCAGGAATGTGGTCTCTGAGACCTCGCTTTCGTTCTCCCGGCAGACCCACCTCCCACAAACCCCGAGGCTTTCTTGAGGCGGAGAGTGGAATATGATGGGTGAGGAGTATGAATAGAGCTGTCGTGTGCAGACACCTTCGGGAATAGTGAATGTTTCACATGCCTACATTTGAGGTAGGCCCAGGGAGGAGGAAAGTACAGGGAGGAAAAGTCCAAGGAGGAGTGATGTTTGGAAATGTTCCTGTGTGGGAGGGGGTGGGAGCTGCTCAGGCTGTTAACATTAATTCCTCTGAGTGGTGGAATGTTTTTTTCCTAAGCTCTGGTTGTATGGAATGAGGCTCAAGAGGTCAAAGTAGTCCCCCTGTAAATGGCACCTGGGCTGACGTATAGGTTAAGTGAAGTTAGCAAGATAGAGGGCTGGCACATGAGAGGGAGGCCACACAAAAGCCAGGTAAGAGTTAGCTGAGGCGAAGACAGAGGTAAAATTTCACAAAGGAGCAGCAATTTGAGCTGGGTTTGCGTGACTGACAAATTTTACTGGGCAGCAGTGGTGTGCAGAACAGTTAGCTGCAATAGAGAATTGGCGGTGTAGAGTAACAGGAGCAAGACTCTTTCAGCCTTACCTGACCTGCTCAATGCCAAACTTTACTCATGAGTGTCCTAGGAGTGTTTGTGAAGGCATTATATAAAAGGAAGATTAAATGAAAGGGAGATTGCTATCAGGGTCTACAACATCTAAGGAGTTTAAAGTTTTTTGGAGTAACTGGTAAGTCTCCCTCAGCTGCCCAAATGTTGCATGCTCAGTTGCTCCAGGACTCTGGTCTTGGAAAGAGACAGGATTGTTCACTTGTTAAAGAGGGATAGGTTCCACTAAGTAACTTGCTCTCAGCAACAGTGTGAATCACTGGTGCTCAGGTTTGTTTTAGCAGCATAGGGCTGGGTGCCACCTGGCAAGGCCCCATAGGGAATGCCTGAAGCCTAAAGAAGGGTGCTACTGGCTATGCAACTTTCTGGAGAGGACCAACGCAGGCTTCCCCCTGCCCCCGCCCCCCGCGTTAATATCTAGTATAGTAATCATGAAAGTTTTCAATATACCAAAACCTTTTCTAGTTTTGATTTAGCAAAGTCTTATAATGGTTCCAGAGCTCTCTTTGAAAATACATTCGCAGAGAAAGCTTAGCATTATTAGCATAGTTGTATCAAGGGCCTGGAAGAGAAATCCAAATACTTGTGCCTCTGAATTCATTTTTTTTTTTTTTGGTTACAGGGTCTTGTTCTCTCTCCCAGGCTGGAGTGCAGTAGTGTGATCTTGGCTCACTCCAGCCTTGAACTCCTGGGGTCAAGGGATCCTCCCACCTCAGCCTCCCAAATAGCTGGGACTACAGAAGTGTACCACCACACCCAGCTAAGTGTTTCAGTAGATATTTAGCATACATTATGGATGGTCTCTGTCCTTTTTGCATTTAGTGAGGGGCAAGTGACAGGTATGCCTAGCACTCTAGTGCTGGGTAGCAGGAGGCAGAATAAGCCCACATTTTGCCTTGCCCCTAACCCCTTACTTGACACTGGCACACCCTCCATCCACCAGCAAGTGGGCTGGGGCTTCCTGCAGCTGCTGCCCTGGACGTTTGGTGTGCATGGGGACTTCACTGCCATCAACTTGGAGGAGCATGTCATTTGCCCTGCCCTGCCTCTTCAACGGTAGAGAAGTTCCTTGACAACAGGAACTGCTCCCTGGTACACATACCCCAGTGCCTGCATATAGCAGACTCCTTACATGAACAAACAAGTCCCATTAAAACATAAGACAATTTGGATGTCACAACATAAAAGTTGGGTTTTTTTTTCAAAATGCAAATTCTGGTCGGGCACAGTGGTTCATGCCTGTAATCCTAGCACTCTAAGAGGCTGAGGCAGGCAGATGACTTGAGGTCAGGAGTTTGAGACCAGCCTGGCCAACACTAAAAATACAAAAAATTAGCTGGGCATGGTGGCGGGTGCCTGTAGCCCCAGCTACTTGGGAGGCTGAAGCGGGAGAATAGTTTGAACCCAGGAGGTGGAGGTTGCATTGAATAGAGAGGATGCCACTGCACTCCAGCCTGGGTGCAGAGTGAGACTCTATCCCCTCCCCCACCAAAAAAAGTGCAAATTCTTCTAATCTCATGTAACATATTCTGTCAGGTGTATAACCACACAAGAACAGCATCCTTTCAAACAAGTTGGTTTAATTTCAGGTGATACAAAGTTTAAGGTAGAACAAGGACCAAAAAGCAGACTCCTGCAAGATTCTGAGCTGGTTTTACTTTAAATTCACAGTTATGGTAGGAATGACTTAGTGAAAACAACTAAAGAGATGATAAGCCACTATACTTTTTTTTTTTATACAAAAGTTTATTCTTAAATGTACAACCGCTCCAAGACAACACTTAATTCTAGCTATAGGTGGCAAAAGATGCTATGGCAGGGAATACAGATGTTTAAATACGGATGAAATAAAGGGTCACCATCTCCTCAGGGACAAGGAACAGCTTACTTTTTGCCAGATTTCTTAATTCCACCTGTGGCTGCAAAAGAAAAATAGTCACAATCAGGGAAAAATATAGTTCTTATGGTAGAAGCCCCATGGGCCTGCTGTAGACCTTAATAAAGCCTGGCTTTTGTACTAGGCATTCACTTTAACACAAACATGGATAGCAGTTTATTATTTTTATTTTTATTTTATTTATTTATTTTTTTTGAGATGGAGTTTTGCTTTTGTTACTCAGGCTGGAGTGCAATGGCGTTATCTTGGCTCACCGCAACCTCCGCCTCCTGGGTTCAAGCAATTCTCCTGCCTCAGCCTCCCGAGTAGCTGGGACTATAGGTGTGTGCCACCATGCCCAGCTAATTTTTGTATTTTTAGTAGAGACGGGGTTTCACCATGTTGACCAGGATGGTCTCGATCTCTTGACCTCGTGATCCACCCGCCTCAGCCTCCAAAAGTGCTGGGATTATAGGGGTGAGCCACCTCGCCCATGGATAGCAGTTTCACTGATATTGTCTGTTCTGGGTAAAGGTAAAATGAGGATGAGATGGAGTATAAGCAATGGCTGGCTGCACACTGGTCTAGATCTATACTGCTGTATAATTCACAGATTGGCTTATTTAATCCTCATGCCATATCAACCCATTTTACAGAAAAAGAAGCCTCCCCCACCCCTTTTTGAGACGGAGTGTTGCTTTATCACCTAGGCTGGATTGCAGTGGTGTGATCTCAGCCCACTGCATCCTCCACCTGCTGGGTTCAAGCCATTCTTCATGCCTTACCATCCCGAGTAGCTGGGACTACAGGTGCCTGCCACCATGCCCAGCTAATTTTGGTATTTCTAGTAGATAGGGTTTTACCATGTTGGCCAGGCTGGTCTCGAACTCCTGACCTCAAGTGATCCGCCCACCTCAGCCTCCCAAATTGTTGGGATTACAGAAATTGAGCCACCGTGCCCAGCCAAAAAAGAAATCTTATTGTTAGGTATTGTTCAAGGTATATGACAAGCCTGGATTCTAACCTGAGTTGTCTGACTTCGAAGTCCACATTCTTAACTGCCACATTATACTACCTTCCACATTATGATCCTGGCACCTGGTATGCTCTACCAATTTACAAATGATCATATGTGTGAAACCCAGCAGGCAATTTAAGAAACAGGGTAAGATTAAGTATGCCTAATACAGGAAAGAGATCCAAAAGGGCTTGACAAAATAAAACTTAAAAAAAAAAAAAAAAAAAAATAGATGATGCTCAGTGAGAATCTAGCATAGAGTTACACTAAGGACTGACCTTTTCCCTATACACAATTACAGATTAAAAGAGGGTGCAAGATGCTTTTTTTTTTTTTTTTAAAGATAGGGTCAAGCCAGGAGCGGTGGCTCAAGCCTGTAATCCCAGCATTTTGGGAGGCCGAAGCGGGTGGATCACGAGGTCGAGAGATCGAGACCATCCTGGTCAACATGGTGAAACCCCGTCTCTACTAAAAATACAAAAATTAGCTGGGCATGGTGGCGCGTGCCTGTAATCCCGGCTACTTGGGAGGCTGAGGCAGGAGAAGTGCCTGAACCTAGGAGGCGGAGGTTGCGGTGAGCGAGATCGCGCCATCGCACTCCAGCCTGGGTAACAAGAGCGAAACTCCGTCTCTAAATAAATAAATAAATAAAGATAGGGCCTCACTCTGTCTCCCAGGCTGGTATACAGTGACACAATCACAGCTTATTGCAACCTGAACTCCTGTACTCAAATAATCCTCTTATGCCTAACTCCTGTGCTAAGCTACACTGCCTCAGCCTTTTAAATAGCTGGGATTACAGGAAATAGGCCACTACCACCATGCCCAGCTAATTTTTAAAATTTTCTGTAGAGACAGGGTCTCCCTATAATGCTGTGAACTCCTAGCCTTAAGCAATCCTCCTGCTTAGGCCTCCCAAAGCACTAGTATTATGGTCTTGAGCCACTGTGCCTGGCCCCTTACACCATTCTGAAAAGGAATCTCAAGAGCTAGAATCTTAGTGCTGGGTGGGTAAAGAATAATGGATCAAACCCACCGGGAGAAGTCTTGGGAAGCCCCGGATAACACTCCCACCCTCCTTGTCTCCATCATGCCTATCATGGCTCACAGTGCTCAAATAGGGCGTAAACAACTGTGGAGGAAATAATCACTAGTTCGATGAATGTAAAATAATGTTTAAGATGTACATACAGTACTAAAACTGCTGGGCCTGAAAAATCTTTTGAAATGTAATGAATTCCTCTTACATAAAAGAGGTAAAAGGGTGGAGAATTCGGTTAGAAAAGCATATGGAGCAACAGCACACCGAAGAGCCTGGACTTGGCACACCCAGAAGTAAAGACTAAGGAAGCAAAAGCATTTATTAGAGACAATATGAGCGGGGGGGGGGGGGGGGGGGGGGGGGGCGGGGGGAGGTGGCCGAGCGCGGTGGCTCACGCATGTAATCCGAGCACTTTGGGAGGCCAAGTCGGGTGGATAAGTTGAGGTCAGAAGTTCGAAAGCTGACCAACATGGTGAAACCGTCTCTACTAAAAATACAAGACAATTAGCCGGGCGTAGTGGTGGATGCCTGTAATCCCAGCTACTTGGGAGGCTGAGGCAGGAGAATCACTTGAACCCGGAAGGCATAACCGAGATCGCGCCGCTGCACTCCAGCCTGGGTGACAGAGGGAGACTGCTTCTCAAAAAAGAAAAAAAAGCTGTAAGTCAAGTAAGGTTCAAACACTAAGAAGACAGTAAAATACGAATTTGGGGCAAGAGATTACGGAAGACATCGAGAAACGTAACTCTATGAATCTGTGTCTGAGGTAAAACATTTCAATGTTTCCGTTTCTGCAGCTCTTCCCTAAGGAATGGAAGCCCAGACTGCCTGGGAGTCAGGAGACTTCGTTTCCATCTCCCGCCCCTTACTGCTGCTGCAAATCCATGACTGGCTAGAGACCATCCGCTACAGCGGACGTCGGAAACCGAGAGCTGACAGTTCAGGAGGCAGGAAAAAGACATGCCGGCGCTCTCATCCCAACAGGTGCCTCATAGCGTTTGGCCGGCGTGAGCTCCATTCGGCCCCCACTTACCCAGGGGCCCCTTCCCCGCGGCCTTTGCTTTTAGCTCTTCGAGTTTCTTCTGCTCTTCTTTTTGTTTCTGCTTGAAAGCCTTATCTTCCTGGGGAGAAGAGGAGCGGGTTCAACTCAGACCTGTCTCCCAGCCCCTTCGCACCCGCCCGCGCCTCCACGCCCGCCCTCACCTCGTCCATTTCCTTGGCCTGCTTCTTGGGCTGTTTCAGGGGCTTCTTCTTGCCACCTGTGGGCGACAAGAGCAAGTTCGGCCTGACCCCCGCCGCCCGGTCCCCGCCCCGCCGTCCTCGTAGTCCTCAGCGTCCCGGAACACGTACCTTCCCGGCCGGACATGGCGCCTGCCGCCCCTTTCCCAGACCCTGCCACCGGAAACGGAGCGCCTGCCACCGGAAACGGAGCGCCTGCTCCCACCCCCTTTCGTAGGCAGGGACGCAGCCCCGCTGATTGGTTCCTAGTTAGGAAGTTGAACTCTCGCTACCGGATGCGGCCTGCCAGGGGCGGACACTAACAGGTCAGAGGTCAGTTGAGTGGCAGACGCTCTGTCGGGCCGCGCCAGGTACGAGAAGCTAGGGTCGTCCTGCCAAGGTAGAATCCGGAACCGCAGGGGTACTTAACGGAAGCCCCCCCCGCCCGAGGCCTGTAGCTGTGCACGGGAAGAGCACTGCAGGTAGACAGCAGGGCATGTCCGTGTGCAAAAGGCCTTGAAGCTCCGCGCGTTCCTGGAACCGAGGAAAGCACAGCTTAGGTGGAGGGAGATTAGGCGGGGAGGTGGCAGAAGTGGACGGGAATTACATCACCTGGTCCTATAGCTTTGGAAGCCCCTGTACAAACTGTAAGGAGTTTGTTTTATAATATAGTCAGGGATGCAGCAGTTTGCGAATTCTGTTTATTCATCCAGTACGTATGTACTGTATGTAGGTACCAAGCTGACATTCTAGTAAGTGAGGCGGACTATAACCAAATAAGTGAAATACGTAATCTCAGGTCATGGGACATGTGCATGGAAAAAATAAAGCGGGAAAAGTGGATCAAGAGTGCTAGGGTGGGAGTGGGATGGCCATATCTGATAGGGTGTATGGGGAAGGCCTACCAACGGCCTACTATGTGAGCAAGACTTGAAGAGGTGAGGAGCAATCAGCACAGATAGCAGCTGGCATGAAGGCCCTGAGGTGGGGATAATCTGGTGCGTTGCAGTAACTTCAAGAAGGTCCATGTGCTTGGAGTGGAGTGAAGAAAGGGAGACTAGTGGGAGATGAGGTCAGAGATGAATGAGAGCCAGTGGGTAGATTCCCTGTAGGGCATGGAAAGGACAGGCTTTTACCTTGAGAGAAGTAGGGAACCATTGTAGGGGTTGAGCAGAGAGACAATGGTCCCAACCTGTGTTTGGAAAGGAACACTGACTGCTCTGTTGACAATAAATTGCGGGGGCTGGAATAGAAGCAGGGTGATATCTGTCAGGAGGCTCTTGGGGTAATCCAGGCTAGAGATGTGGGTCATTGGGACCATTTGGGAGCAGTGGCAGAGGTAAGAGGAGAAAGGATCCTGGATTTAGAAAACCAGTGGCATTTGCTAGATAGATGGATGTGAGGTGGGAGAGAAAAGTGGGGAATCGCAGTGATGTGAGGTTGTTGGCCTGAATATTTGAACTTGGATTGCCGTCATCCATGATGGAGAAGGCTGTGGGAAAAACAGGTTTGGGAGGGGAAGATGAGATCCCCATTAGGTTTTTAGGCAGAGATATGGGTTGGGAAGTTTGATAAATGAACCTGGAACCCTGGGGAGAGAGGTCTGGGCTGGAGGAGTCAAGAGTATAGTTTTGTTTTGTTTGAGATGGAATCTTGCTCTGTCGCCCAGGCTAGGATGCAGTGGCATGATCTCGGCTCACTGCAACCTCCGCCTCCCGGCTTCAAGCGATTATCCTCCCTCAGCCTCCCAAGTAGCTGGGATTACGGGTGCCTGCCACTGCGCCTGGCTAATTTTTATATTTTTGGTAGAGATAGGGTTTCACCATCTTGGCCAGGCTGGTCTCAAATTCCTGACCTTGTAATCCACCTGCCTTGGCCTCCCAAAGTGCTGGCCTCCCACAGTGAGCCACTGTGCCTGGCCAGTTTTTTTTTTTTTGTTGTTGTTGTTTTTAAATAACAGCTTTATTGATATATAACTTGCATACCATAAAATTCACACAACATGTACAATTCAGTGGTTTTAGTATATTTATAGAGTTGTATGTTCGTCACCAAAATAAATTTTTTAGACCATTTTTATTGATGAATTTTAAAACCCCAGGACTGGATAAGAGAGGAGTCTGAGTGCTGAGCACTAGGGTGCTACAGAGTCTGGACAGTGTTCAGAGGTTAGGCAGATCAGTGGGGACTGGAAACCAAGTGAAAATGGCATGTGAGGGAGGAGGGAGTGAGGCTGGATTAGTGGGAGCTGGACAGAATTGGAGAAGAGGAGCAGAGACAGTGAATTCAGGCAGTCTGTCAAGGAGTTTAGTTATAAAGGGAAGCAGAGAAATGGGCAGTTGGTGGTGGGGGGGTCAGATTGATTACCGAGCAATGTCTCAGGAGAGGATTTGGGACCTGGGGCACAGGCTGGTCTTCTCTAGAAGCATGGTGTTTTTTTTATTTTGTTTTTTTTGAGACGGAGTCTCACCTTGTCCCCCAGGCTGAAGTGCAATGGTATGATCTTGGCTCACTGCAACCTCTGTCTCCTGGGTTATAGCGATTCTCCTGCCTCAGCCTCCTCCCAAGTAGCTGGGATTACAAGCACCCACCATCATGTCTGGCTAATTTTGTATTTTCAGTAGAGATGGGGTTGGTCAGGCTGGTCTTGAACTCCTTCAGGTGATCCACCCGCCTCAGCCTCCTAAAGTGTTGGGATTACAGGCACGAGCCATTGTGCCTGGCCTGAAGCATGGATTTTTATCCTGAGGATCAATAATGGAGGTGGAAATGGGCAGCTACTAGTGGTTGGGAAGGTATGGTGGGAGTTTGTAGAAGTTCTCCAATTTTTTATTTTCTTGGTGTAAAATGAAGCAAGCAGGCCATCAGCTGGAAGTGAGGATGAGGAGCAGATAATAGAGGCTTGAGAAAAGGGCAGTTGGAAGGAGACGGCCATCTACATAGAGTAGGAGAATGGATCTGAAGGGGCAGAATTCTGAACTTGACTCTCAGGGCCCTGCTTCACCTGTCCAACTTCTCCATCCACTTTTTGCTTTTGCTTTCCAGCTGCACTGACTGCCTTTCAGGTTTTGGGTGACCTCAGGCACTTTCCACCTTTTCCCTCTGCCAGGAACATTCTTCCCCTTGCTGGTTGAAGAGCCTGTGAAACATCTAAGTGGTGACATCCTCAGGGCTGAGAAACAGGGCCCAGGGTTGGGGGCGGATGGGGTGGCGGAGAAGGAAGGACCGGAGTGGAGAAATAGCTTGGGAATTATTGCCACATTCCTTTATGAAGTCTCTGCTGCCACCTAGCTTATGTTCTAGTGAGGGAATAGGCAAGGAAAATGAAGCAGAGAAGGTAGTTGGGGAGGGAGTGGTCAAGGAAGCCTTACTGAGGTGATATTTGGGCAAAGATGAAGATGTTAGGGTGAGCCGAGTAGACTTGTGATGGAAGAGTCATCCAGCTGGAAGAGCACAGAGGCTGGAGCAGAGTATAGCAGTAGAAGAAAGAGGATGAGGGCTGAGAGGTCTCAGGGCTTTTGGCCATTGCCAGGTGAAATGAGAGCTGTTGGAGGGGGTTGATCAGAGGGATATAATCTGATTTATGTGTTACAGAGCCTTGGGCTGCCATGTGCAGAACCTGGGGGTTGGGAGAGGAGGGGAGAAAGCCGAGATTGCATAGGAGACAGTAGCTGTCATCTCTGTCAGGAATAGGTGACTTTCCTGGGGTCTAAGAGTGGGTAGCTAGTGGAGGTGTTGGGAAAGGAGGCTGAGAAGGTTCTGGAGGAAGCCAAGAGGGGCAGTGATGTTGGGAAGAGAGGGTGTTGAAAGTGGTGCCAGCCGTGGCAGACGCTGCATGCTTTGTTTGCTTTGATGAAGGGTACACCTGCAGAGCTGTTATGGGGTGCCAGCCTGTGTGTCATGGGTGCTGGCATTGAGGCCTGGGAGTCTGACTGGGCTTCTGGGGCCTGGATGGTAAGTAGCCTTATGGGCATGGAACCCAGCCTTATGAATGGGGCTCAGGTGTTTGGGTGTGACACCAGCTTGGGACCACTGTCACAGTGATGTTCCCTTCTGAGGCTCTCAGCTTGGGCCCACTTTGCCCAGAAGCCATGTTCCTACCCAACCAGCTGTTTTCAATGGGCCTGAGCTTCTCCAAAGACAGTTCTTAGCACAGCATGATGGAGAGGAGGCTGGGATGCTGTGGGCAGTCTCTGTCTCACATTACCTTCCATCAGGAAGCCCCTTTCTGTTCTGTATCCGGAGCTCCTTCAATCCCTTCCTGTCTGCAGCTCCCTCTGCCTTTCTCTCAGGCCTGCTCTGTTGGCCACCAGGTGTCGCTCTCACAGCCAGGATCAGCACTTAAGGACTTCGAGATGTGGTTTGGCCAGAGGAGGGTGCTGTTAGCTCAGCTTTTTCCAGGAAAATGGGTCACCTGGCCACCTCTTTCGGGGGCAGGGGGGTCCTCAGAATCACTGCCACTCTTGGGGTCAGGTGAGGGCTGATTCTGGATAGTGGGAGACTCCTTGCTGTTCAGGTAATGAGAAGCAGGCCCAAACATCAAAGCAGATGCAAGAAGGAAAGATTAGAGAAACCTGACCTGCTGGGTCCAGTGGCTCACGCTTGTAATCCCAGCACTTTGGGAGGCCGAGGTAGGTGGATCACAAGGTCAGGAGTTCAAGACCAGCCTGGCCAAGATGGTGAAACCTACTAAAAATACAAAAATTATCCAGGTGTGGTGGCAGGCGCCTGTAATCTCAGCTGCTCAGGAGGCTGAGGCAGAGAATTGCTTGAACCCAGGAGGTGGAGGTTGCAGTGAGCTGAGATCTGGGCAACAGAGTGAGACCCAGTCTCAAAAAAAAAAAAAAAAAGAAAGAAACCTAACCCGTTGAGCAGTGGCAGGTTGGAGAGAAAAGAGAAAACTTATGGAAGGTGAGAAGTGTGAGACTGAGGGTTGGGGGTCTGGAAAGTCAGGGTGGAGATGGATGGTGTGAACCTAAGAAAAGTCCTCTGTGGCAAAAAGTGTTGTCGTTGTTGTTGTTGTTTTTGCCCCTGGAATTGTCTTAGAGGAGAGCTGAGAGTTTTCTGTCTTGGGTCACAAATGGCCTGTGTTCTTATGTCCTCACACAGAATTGAAACTGCTTCCTTGGTGCTGAGCCAGCTCTTGGAGAGTCTGGGAAGTTGGTTTTGAGGCTGTTTTACAGAAATGATCCTGGATCTTACTCTTCCTGAATTCCCCTGAGTTCTACAACATCGCGGGGAATCTTTATGCATCTCTGTCAGACTTTGTCAGCATGTGTACAACTCCAGTTTCAAAACTGCCTTTGATATCAGAAACCTGGGCACCAGGATTCTCATTCAAGTCATAGCAGAGAGACCTGGGGAATGCAGGGAGCTGGGTAGCAGGGAAGGGTCTGCTTTGTGAGGCATGGTGGTGGACACTGGAAGGCATGGTATCCTAGAGGCTCTTTCTCAAGAGTTCCATTGTCCAAGTGCACCAAGGGGAGACCATCCTCTTGCCATAGGGACCGAAGTTTTGACCCAACAAGGTGGTGCTCAGTTTAGATGATTTTAGTGGAGATGAGTCTGTTCAGAACTCTCCCCAGGCCTCTAAACTGACTTATGTCCAGCCTTTCTCAGCTGTGAGTTGACCTGTCTGGCCTCCCCCTCACAGATCTCCTGATGATGGGGCGCAGCCCTGGGTTTGCCATGCAGCACATCGTGGGTGTGCCCCACGTACTGGTTCGGAGGGGCCTCCTTGGAAGGGACCTCTTTATGACCAGGACTCTCTGCAGCCCAGGCTCCAGCCAGCCCGGAGAGAAAAGACCTGAGGAGGTGGCCCTCGGGCTGCATCACCGCCTTCCAGCACTGGGAAGAACCCTGGGTCACAGCATTCAGCAACGAGTGACCTCCACAGCCAAGACTTGGTGGGACAGATATGAAGAGTTCGTAGGACTCAATGAGGTTCGAGAGGCCCAGGGAAAGGTGACAGAGGTGAGGAGGAGATCTGAGGTGGCTGGTCCTGCCCTTAGACTTGGGAAATGTGCCAAACCAGCCACATGGTGCTGGGTGCGACATCCAGACTTGTGTTTGGCCTCATTTATCACGTGGAAACCTGGGCTTGATGCTTCACATGGGTGAAGGTCTCCATGTAACTGTGCCACCTACTTTCCCTGAAAACAGTTACTGTGTACCAATAAGTCCCCGGCATTAACGTCCATTCTGTGAAGCCAGCAAATATTTCCTTTACGGACTGTTTGGGGGTTGATAGTGAGAGTTACCTGGGGCTTGCTGCCCACGGTAACACAGTACTGTTACCGTGTGTAATTACAACATCTATTGTGAAGGTGGAGGGCACTGGGAAATGTCACACTGCGAGGTGGAAAGAGCTGCCTGTGGTTGTCAAGTCCTTTGTGGTGGCAGAAATGCATTTTGCCATCTCTGTTCCCATTCATGCTTAGGCATGGAGTAGTGTAGCGAGGTGGGAAGAACCTGGGGTTCTGCTAGGGCTCTGAAATAAATGATGCTGTCTCTTTCCTTGGAGATTGTGAGCTTGGCTGAGCTGGTGTTTCCGGGTCTATAAACTGGAGGCCACAGCAGTGCTTTTCATGGCATTGTTATGAGGCATAAATTAGGCAGCACACAGCAAACAGCCTACCAACACAGGCACGGCAAACAGCCTACCAATACAGGTTCCTTACTGTGGTTTGTATCAGGCAAGAATAGACTGGGTTTGATGAACACAAATTGTGTGCATTGTTAGCTGTTTTCAGGTTTTTCAGGGGCATGTTATTTCTGCTTGAATGGCTACATCTCGTGATTCTGATGGGCGTGGCCCAGGGCTGTACTTTGAGCACCACTGGGTGAGCCAGGATTAGTGTCTAAGGAATTCTGTTTCTCCCCTTTGCAGCTCACACCCCAGTGACCTCTTCTTAGCCACAGCCTCGCTGGGAATGCAGCTGAGCCTGTGTGGGTGTGGAGAGAAGGTGCAGACAGCTTCCGGTTTTCTCTCTGCAGGCAGAGAAAGTGTTCATGGTGGCTCGAGGGCTTGTTGGAGAGGCTCGGGAGAACTTGGAAGTTCACCAGGCTAAGCTGAAGGAAACGAGGGACCGCTTGGACCGTGTCTCCAGGGAGGACAGTCAGTACTTGGAACTGGCCACTCTCGAGCACAGGATGCTGCAGGTAGGCACCTCAGGAGGCAGCCCTTTTGCACCTGGACAGTGACCCTAACCTGGCAGATCATGGAGGTGCTGGGTGGCAACCCTGACTGGTCTGTGATCAGAGGCCTGGTACAGAGGTGAACCGAACCTCCTAGAGCCTATCCATTTACTTCCTTCTGGAGTACTGGGGCCAACTGTTCAAGGCAGTGTAGCCTGGGACCCAGAATGCTGAGGAGGGAGAACCATGGAGGGGCTGGCCCAGGGAATGCTGGACACTTCCCTTCCTGTAGACATAAGTGCACCTCTGGTCAAACCCAGGACTGCTCAGGTGGCATGATCATGCAACTCACTTTGATCACTCCCAATTCTTCTGACCCAGCCAGGTTTGTGCTACCTTTATTCATTCAGCATTGGTCTATGAAACATGTACTCTGCCAGGCACAAGGTAATGAGCCATCTGCTGGTGGCTATATCTGCGGGGCCACCTTGTGCTCATGTAACCCAGTAACATGGCTTTGTTTCTGCAGGAGGAGAAGAGGCTTCGCATGGCTTATCTGCGTGCAGAAGACTCTGAGCGTGAGAAGTTCTCCCTCTTCTCTGCGGCTGTGCGGGAAAGTCATGACAAGGAGCGCACAAGGGCTGAGAGGACCAAGAACTGGTCCCTCATTGGCTCAGTCCTGGGGGCCCTGATTGGTGTGGCTGGCTCCACCTATGTGAACCGTGTCCGGCTACAGGAGCTGAAGGCCTTACTCCTGGAGGCACAGAAGGGGCCTGTGAGTCTTCAGGAGGCCATTCGAGAACAGGCATCTAGCTACTCGCTCCAGCAGAGGGACCTCCACAATCTCATGGTGGACTTGAGGGGCCTGGTACATGCTGCTGAGGCAGGGCAGGGTTCTGGGTCACAGGCAGGTACTCCCCCGACCAGAGACAAAGATGTAGATGTCCTTTCAGCTGCCTTGAAAGAGCAGCTCAGTCATTCCAGGCAGGTCCATTCATGTTTAGATGGTTTACAAGATCGGCTTGATGGCCTAGAAAAGACTTGTAGCCAAATGGCTGGAGTGGTTCAGCTTGTAAAGGCTGCAGCACACCCAGGCCTGATGGAACCAGCAGATGGGGCTATGCCCAGCTCCCTGCTGGAGCAGGGGAGCATGATCTTGGCACTGTCGGACATGGAGCAGAGACTAGAAGCCCAAGTCAACAGGAACACCATCTACAGCACCCTGGTCACCTGTGTGACATTTGTGGCCACACTACCTGTGCTCTACATGCTATTCAGGGCCAGCTAATCCCGGGCCCCTCCTTCAGAGGGTCTGAGGCAATAGCTGTGCATGTGGATTTAGTTAGAGAATAGCAATGAAGCAAGCCTTTGGGGGGGTGTGCACAACCTCAGCCTGAAGGAGCAGTATCTGTATGGCTCACCAGCAGGCACACTTTGCTTTGTAGGCAAGGTCCATTTACATTAATTATCAAAACTTTGTGCTAATGTCTGATTAAAATTTCCTGAGTTTTATTATTTAAAACAATCAGACTGAGTTTTTTTGTTCATTGAGGATCAAGATCCAAGACCTGAAGGTTGGGTCTGGAGTTGGAGTAGTCACCCCTTTAGTTTCTCTCTCATCTCTTTGTCCTCTTTCCTGAACTGTTTTGGATGCACTCCTGAGGCCCAGATTTTCATTTTGAATTTCCTGGCCTGCCCTCCACAACCTGACTGTCCTGTGTCAAATGACCTGGGAGTTCCAGCAAGTGGAACCTAGCCCGCTGCTTACTCGTTGGTGACCATGGTTACTTCCCATCTCCTGGATCATTTTCTCTACCATGTGGGGCAGAACTTCCCGGTGTTAATACTGGAGGAGTGATCAGAGGATAGCAGGGAAGAGAGATTGGAGGAATGGTTGATAAATGTTGCTGGGGACCTCAGTATAGGGATTGGTGGCCAATCTGGATCCCTGGTACAGAGAATGCTTTGGGCAGCACTAGTGTGCCACTAGGGCTGAGTGCATACCCACATACAGCCCAGGGATAACTTCCACAGCCATGGGCAGAGCTCAGGCCACAAGTAGTGTGAATGGAGAGGCAGTGACAGGGAGGAGTCTTCCACAGGTGGGAGGTGCAGTGGGGCATGTGTATGACCTCTTTTCAGAGGGGAACCATGACCTTTCATCTCTTGGACTAAATGGCCATGGGTGGCTTTGTTTGCCCTGGTAAACAGGAGCTTTGGGCTGGTTTTCAGTCCTGGTGTTAAGAGTATTGCAGGTCTGACACATTGCAGATAACCCATTCCCCTTTGAGAGCTCAGGGGGCAGCTGTGTGCAGGGGCTGCAGGTGGGGCTTGTTCACTGGTGCCTGTGCAGAGCTGTCAGAACCTGTGGAGCCAGGAGTGTTTCCCTTAAGGCACATTTCCTTCTTGGAGCCTGGGCTCAGTCTTGGGCAGTGGGCATGGACTAAATGCCCCCCACCCCAGTACTTAGCACTTGATCCCTCAGTCACTCTATCCTTGGCGAGTAATGGCTCCCCAGAATGGCATGGGATGGAAAGACACTTAAAGTGTCCACACTCCTCATAGGGCAGAAGGCCCCATATCTGTGTACAGATGAAGGGGGTTGTGGGGTTTGGAAGTCCTAGTTTCCTCTGGGGTGAGGTAGGTCCTGAAGGGTGTGCACTTAGTTGAATGGATTTGGGAAGAGAAGGATTCTGTGCATGTGCAGGGGGCTCCCTCAAACTGCAGAGGCAGGAAAGCCAAAGTGGGTGAGGGACTGGGGCAGACTGTCCTGGCTGGGGTGGTGATGGGTGTGGGGAAGTTGCATAGAATGAGGTGGCGGGTCCAGGGTGCCAGGTGGGCAGTCTCTGAGGTCAGAGGCTAAGGGTGAGGGATCCAGGGAGACATTGCTATGCTGGTGCAGAAAAGATGCTAAGCAGTGGGGGGAGGCAGTGATAGGGAGGGGTCTCCCACAGGTGGGAGGTGAAGTGGGGCATGTGTATGACCTCTTTTCAGAGGGGAAGTGACCCTTGAACTCCTGGACTAAATGGCCATGGGTGGCTTTGTTTGCCCTGGTAAACAGGAGCTTCGGGCTGGTATTCAGTCCCGATGTTGGAGTACTGCAGGTATGACACATTGCAGATAACCCACTCCCCTTTGACAGCTTAAGGCAGCTGTGTGCAGGGGCTGCAGGTGGGGACTGGACTCAAGTGCTGGAAGTGGGAGTGGAGGAAAAGGGGTGACCTGAGGAGTTGGGGAGGGAAAATTTGAAAGGCATAGAGCCTGGAAGATGAGTGACGAAAGGCCCTTGTTAGCGGGTGGGAGATGGGAAGAGGGTGTCTGTAGCTCTAGGGCAATAGCCAGTACGGATGACCTGAACCTCAGCTTTCAGATGCCTGTGTGACAGTTTTGCCTCCCAGGAAGCTGTGCCAATGGCCTTGAGCCAAAGTCCTCCAAAAGTCCTAATAGGATAGGCCAGGTTCTGGATCCTGAGTTAGCTGTAGGCATGCCAGGGTGTGAAGGGCCCTGCACAGGGGACAAATGGGCCCCAGGAGAGAACACTTCTGCCAGCGTTTCCTTCTGCAGAAGGCCCAGATGTTTGCCAGTGAGGGAGCCCAGACTTGCCCAACGCTTCCCAGCTTGGGGTGGGTCCAGGTCCGGGTCCAGGGCTGAGAAGAAAGGAAAGAAGTGAGCCCTTGCTTGTGTGCCTCTGCAGCCCAGGTGCCCTGCCTGCACAGCCCCGCGAGAGGTGGTAACGCCCCCACTTGCTGGTGAGCAAATAGGCTGGGGTGGGGGTTGGTGTCAGGTTACATGGCTTAGTTGATGGTGCAAGCCAGGTCCAAAGCCCATGCTCTTCTCCAACAGCCAGAGGTGGGGGCCGGAAGGAGGGATTGGCTGCTGGGGAGTCTGGTGGGCAGGGCCAGGTGCGCAGGGAAGAAACAAGGCGCCTCGGAGTTCAGGTAAAGAAAGTTGAGGGGGATGACCATCGGAGCCGGGGAAGGAAAGGAAAGGGAGCTCTGGGCGCGGGGCCAGGCCAGGCGCAGGCAGAACGGGCCAAGCAGGTGAGGGACCCGGGTGCGACCCGGCTCTGGCGGGGCGGGAAGAGGCCGGGGCGCTGTTCCACCAGCACTTGCGGGAGCGGAGCGCGACCCCCCGCCTCGGCCCCTCGCAACCGAGAAAGCTCCCAGTTCCAGTTCCAACGCGGCGGGCAGGTGAGGTCGGCGGGGCGGGGCAGCCGTGGCTCCAGGGGTTCCCTCCTCATCCCCCGGACGACCCGCGTTGCCATGGCGACAGCTGGGGTGCAGTCTGCCCCCTTCCCTGCCCCGTGCGGGAGGGGTCGGGTCCCCCGCCCTCGGCCGACGCCGAGACTGCAGGGCTGGAATGCGGGGTCCCGGGCGGCTCGGGGCCGCGCGCCCGGCTCTCCCGGCTGCTTCCGGCCTGGCCCGGGCGGCGGCGGGGGGAGGGTGGCCCGGCGGGCGAGGGGGAAGGAGCGGAGCCGGGCCCGGCCGACGCGGCTTTGTCTCCTTTGTTCCCGGCGGTGGCAGCGCCGCGCGGGAGGGGCGGGCAGCGGGCGCAGTTTTCCGCCCCTCGGTCTCCGGGTAACAGCTGCGGCTCCGCCAGACCCGGGGGGAAGCGGCCGCGCGCAGAGCCTGACCCGGAGCGGTCGGCGCCCGCCTCAGCGCGCGCATCCCGCGGGGCCCGGCCGGGTGGTGAGTGCGGGACTCGGGGCCGGGGCGGCGAGGACCCGGGCTCCCGGGGTGGAAAGGGTCGGGGCCTCGATGCAGCCGGGCAGGGGCAGCCCGGGCGAGTGGTGGGCGGTTTCGGTCCTGAGAGTTGGGACCACACTCTCCGCGCAAAGGGAAACTCCGGTGGCTCCGCCTGGAACGCGATTGGGAGACTGAGGAGGTGGAGCTGCTCCTCCGCGCCCCCTCCTCGCCGCCGCCACCGGGGACCAGGCGGCCCCTTCCCCGCCCTCTTAGGGCCACAGATGGGGTCCTCGCCTCGGGGTCTGGGGGCTGGGGAGGGTCGAGGACGAGCGAGTGAGGGGGTCGGGACTTCCCCTCAGTAGCAACAGCCCTTCCTGGCTGCTCCCAGTGGGACTGACAAAGGCAGACCTCGAGCCTCCCGACCCCTAGAGGGGGGGGCCCTCCTCTACACACACGCACACACACACACACACACACACACACACATTCAGTGGTTGATTCATGAGCGCCTTGGGTCATCGCAGGTGCCTGGTAAATGGTGGATCTCCCCACCCCTCCTCAACACACAGAAAACAGGGCGGGCAGCAGACACCACTGCACTGTCAATGAGTAACTCACCTCTGTGGTGCACCCTGGGAGCTGAGCAGGAGGGCGAAACGGGAAGGCCGGTTTCCCACTGACTGGCAGGCAGAGCAAATGTGGGCTGTCCTACGGTCCCTCTGCAGGTGCGGAATGGCGGAGTTTGTGAGCCCCTTTTGTTGTCGGGGACAGCTCCACGGGGGGTCCGGGAGGTGCCTGCTCTGCAGAAAGAAGTTGGGCAGTCTTGGGCCCGCTCAAAAGGCTCAGAGCAGGGTGGGCCTGGAAAGAGACTCCAGGCAGGCCTGGGCACAGGCAGAATGAGGCTTTGGTCGTGAGCCTGAGCAGGGCCTCAGTTGTTGGGAGTGGGCAGTAGATCCAGGCTGTGTAAGTTGGGGATGTGAGGTCTGGTTCTAGATCAGCCTTTTCAGTCTCTCCTGGACTGGTCATTAATAAAAGTAGAGCCAACGTCTTAACTTTGAGAGATCAAGTGGCTTAGAGGGGGTGTGGGCCCCTATCTCCCCTACTTGTCCGGTTTCCTTGGCTGTGAAGTTGGGGTTTGTTCACCATGCAGGGAGCATCTGCTCTGTGCTGATGTCTCTGCAAGTTGCTGGGGCCTCCAAATCAGAGCCATACTCCCTTCCTTCAAGGAGCTTCAAGTCCAGAGTAGAAGGGTGGAACAGGGAGAAAAGTGACTCCAGTTGGCGTCACTAATGCCAGGCACAGAATGCATCAGGTTTATGGTCAGAGCAATCTTGCCTCCCATTGTACAACTAGGAAATGGGAGGCTGGGAGAGCCTGAGGCAGAGCGGCCGTGTCTGTCAGCATGCTGCGTAGGTGTGTCCATTCAGTCCACCACATGTAGTGGCCTCTTCAGGAGCCTGGGAGGACAGGGGAGGCTCCCCAGGGAGATGATGTTTGGCATAGGAGTTAATGGGACAAAGAGGGAGTGGGCATTCCAGGCAGCGCAAGAGCCTGTGCAGCCACTGGAAGAGCGGAAGCAGCCTGCAGTTCAGGCCGGCAGGGAAGGGCATGTGTGGGGGAGCACTGGCATGGATCGGGTGGGAGAGGTGTGGACTAGAGGGGTGGGCCTTTATCCCTCCTGCTCTGGGGTGCCCCAGAGGCTCTTGGGGAGGGGTATACTCCAATTCTGCTCAAGGAAAGTCCTGAGCAGACTTTGGAAGAGCTGGGAACTGCTCAGTGGCCAGTGGCAGAGAATAAGTGAAATCCACGTGCCTGAAATGGAGGCGAGAAAGTCACTGCTTTTCTTTCTCTCCTCTTTCTGCCACCCGTGGTATGTGGGGAGGAGCAAGTGGTGCTAGGTCCTGTTTCATAGGGGAACTGTGAATGTAGAAGCCTGATCGCTCTCCCTGGAGTGGGTCAGCAGCTGACCTCCCATGTGGCCTGGCCAGGAGCTGTTCTGATCCCGCCTGTTTCTTCCTATTGTCTCCTCATCCAGTGTTTTATTATTATTTTTCATCTCCCAAAGCTCTGTCATCCATCAATTCAGTTTTGATTTCACATTTGGGGAGTGGTTTTGTTGCTTGAGGGCTGGAGAACTTTGGCACGCAGTAGGCTCTGAGCAAATATTTGTAAGCAAGTAGGAGTGAATACTGGTCTAACTATAGGACCCTGTGCCCAAGGCCCATCCCTGGCATGTGGTGGCAGGAGAATTGAACAGTAGCCCAGTGCAAGAGGTGGCCTCTGCCCATCCTCAGGTGGACTCTGTCTTCCCAGGGGAAGAAACTTTTTTTCCTCATCCCTTGGAAACTAGGTAGGGGGCTCCTGGGCAGCCTGGTCTTGCCATGGTCCTGGGATTCTAGCCGGGTTCGAGACTTTCCCTGCTGCCCCCTTCCTCCCGCCCCCTTGGGTGGCAAACAGAGGCAGCCTTGTTCCTGCTCCCATAGAGCTGCCCTGTTTTCTGCACACTAAAAATGGAAACCCCCAAGCTATTTTGGGAGCAGTGCCCAGCCAGGCTGTGACCACAGCCCCCCTGCTCCCACTGGGCTGTGGCCACAGTGTCCCAGCTTCCACCAGACTGCTGGACCCTCCCTGAGCCTTGTGGCCAGCCCTCTTCACTCCAGGACAACCTCAGGAGTACCCTGCTCTGGCCTCTGCTGGGATGAGCTCACTGGGAGAAGCAAGCACTTAGGATATTTTGCACAGACAGCTTGGCAGCTGGGTGATGGGAGGGGCTGGGCAACGTGGCCTGGGCACAGGCAAGTAGGGGAAGTGTCTCCCAGTCTGAGACACTTCACCAACCTTGGTGCTCCTGGCTGGGGACCACTGGGGAAGGTGGTGTTGCCATAGTTTCTTGGTTCAGGGACTCAGGAGCCTCAGCTGGGGCCCAAGAAGGGGTCTGTGTGGAGAACAGGCACTCTAAGTCTGGGGAGGTCCTGGGGATGGGCCTGGGAACAGCCAGGTATGGCACCTTCCTCCAGGACACACCCCACTTACCTCACATCTTGGGCCCTGGCACTATTCTGAACTGCAGGAGAGGAAATGGCAAGAGATGGCCTGGCTTCTACAGCTCTCCAGTACTAGGGCTGGAACTAAGTACTCTCCATCGAGAGGAGGGTGTGTGAGTGTGCGTGTGTAGGTCTAAATGTGAGTGGTGGTGTAAATGTCTCTGGTGGGTGAGTGTGATGTGTCTGCCTGTAGTGTGTGTGTTTCTGTGTGTGGGGTTGTCTGTATATGGACGTGTCTTCATGTGGTGTCTGAACATGGGTGGCTGTGTCTGTGTGTGTCACTGTGCTGTGTGTATAGATGGCATCTGTACGTGTGTGTGTGTGTGTGTGTGCGTATGCATGCAGAGTAGGTGGTGTGTATGCATTGTGTGTGTGTGGGCATATGCATGCAGAGTAGGTGGTGTGTATGCATCTGTGTGTGTGTGGGCATATGCATGCAGAGTAGGTGGTGTGTATGCATCTGTGTGTGTGTGTGGGCATATGCATGCAGAGTAGGTGGTGTGTATGCATCTGTGTGTGTGTGGGCGTATGCATGCAGAGTAGGTGGTATGTATGCATCTTGCAGTGTGAGTGCCTGTCTGCCAAAGTGCTAGTGACCATTTGGGCTGGGACAGCCCCTGGCAGTGTAGACTGTGTGTGCCTGGGTGCCTTGACAGGGTGGAGTTTGAGCAGAGAGAGGGACCTCACAGGGAGACAGCCATGCTGGGGGCCTGGCTAGACCCTGCCAGCCATGGGGCTCCTTCCTAGCTGACCTTTCCCAGGCCCCTTGGGTGCCTGGCTTTGCTGCCCTTCCCCTCCTCATGTGGGCTCCGAGGAGGCGTCCTCTGTGGAATGTGTTTGGTGGCTGGGGGCCAGTCTGGGCCCAGCTCTGCTGGCAGGCTGGGCGGTGGGGAGGGGGTGCTTCTGTGCTGCCTCCCTGGTGGGGAGCCCAGGACTCCTACGTGCCTGCAGCCCGGGCCCTGGCTTTACACTCTGCTTCCCCCCTGCTAGGTGACTCCCACACGGGTCATGCTGTTGTCTCCCGATCCGGCCACCCCTGCCAGGTGAGCCTGACCTTACACTGAGATATCTAGGAACAGCATGACTCCTACCTATTCTGAGGGCTCTGGGAGGTGGGGTGCAGCCCTTCAGGCCCCTGTTCTGCAAGCTGGAACCTCCCCCTACTGCCGCTGTCTCTCAGGCCTGTTGGTTCTATGGTTATTACCCTTCTGAATTCCTGGCCTGAAAGGCCCTGCACCCAACTCTTGCCTTCCTCTAACATTCTGCTGGCTCAGGAGACCTCCCCCTCCTTCCTCCTTCTGCCCGGGAAACCCTCATCCATGTAGGGCTTCTCCTTTCTTGGGGTCTGGGCCCCTCCTTCCCATCACCTTCTCTCCTGCTCCATCCAGACCCTGCTTCCTGGGCATTGCCCCTCCAGCCCCTCACTCTCTGATGTGGGGGGATGGTGAGTGGGGTGCAAGTCTCCTTAGAAAATAGCACTTGGGGAGAATGAGCAGTGTTGTCTAGGGAGAGTGTCTCCTATTTCTGACCTTGTTCTTGTGTGTGGTCTTGGGGTCATCCTGGACATAGTGCCTGTCTAAGAAACTTGGTCCTCCTCTGCTCACCCTCTAGGTTAGGAGGGGCATCATGGTAATGCCACAGTCCTAGCCCTTACCAGTGGCCCCAGGGTGCTCTGGTGGTCATATGAGCCCCACTCTCTCAACCTCTCTTCCTGCCAGGTGACCATGCCTGCCCTGGGCCCAGCTCTTCTCCAGGTGCTCTGGGCAGGGTGGGTCCTCACCCTCCAGCCTCATCCACCAGCTGCTTTCACTCCCAATGGCACGTATCTGCAGCACCTGGCAAGGGATCCCACCTCAGGCACCCTCTACCTGGGGGCCACCAACTTCCTGTTCCAGCTGAGCCCTGGGCTGCAGCTGGAGGCTACAGTGTCCACCGGCCCTGTGCTGGACAGCAGGGACTGCCTGCCACCTGTGATGCCTGATGAGTGCCCCCAGGCCCAGGCTACCAACAACCCGAACCAGCTGCTCCTGGTGAGCCCAGGGGCCCTGGTGGTGTGTGGGAGTGTACACCAGGGAGTCTGTGAGCAGCGGCGCTTGGGGCAGCTCGGGCAGCTGCTGCTGCGGCCAGAGCGGCCTGGGGACACCCAGTATGTGGCTGCTAATGACCCTGCGGTCAGCACGGTGGGGCTGGTAGCCCAGGGCTTGACAGGGGAGCCCCTCCTGTTTGTGGGTCGAGGATACACCAGCAGGGGTGTGGGGGGTGGCATTCCACCCATCACGACCCGGGCCCTGTCACCACCGGACCCCCAAGCCGCCTTCTCCTATGAGGAGACAGCCAAGCTGGCAGTGGGCCGTCTCTCTGAGTACAGCCACCACTTTGTGAGTGCTTTTGCGCGTGGGGCCAGCGCCTACTTCCTGTTCCTGCGGCGGGACCTGCAGGCTCAGTCTAGAGCCTTTCGTGCCTATGTGTCTCGAGTGTGCCTCCGTGACCAGCACTACTACTCCTATGTGGAGTTGCCTCTGGCCTGCCAGGGTGGCCGCTATGCGCTGATCCAGGCTGCAGCTGTGGCCACGTCCAAGGAGGTGGCGCATGGGGAGGTGCTCTTTGCAGCCTTCTCCTCAGCTGCACCTCCCACCGTGGGCCGGCCCCCATCGGCAGCTGCTGGGGCATCTGGAGCCTCTGCCCTCTGTGCCTTCCCCCTGGATGAGGTGGACCGGCTTGCTAATCGCACACGAGATGCCTGCTACACCCGGGAGGGCCGTGCTGAGAATGAGACCGAGGTGGCTTACATTGAGTATGATGTCAATTCTGACTGTGCACAGCTGCCAGTGGTGAGTTCCAATACTGTCTCATGTTTCCCCTCTCTCTGAGGCCCCTGGCCAAGCATTTGCAGCCAAGGAGCTGCCCAGAGAGTCTGAGGGCAGCTGGTGGTAGCAGTAGGATGATCAGGTCAGCAGATGTTAAGTGCTTCCTGTGTTGCCTGGGCAGTGGAAGGGTACCTTACCACAAGCCTGGTCTGCAGGTGGCAGAGAGCAGTGTCCAGATGGGCTTGGACCAGGATGCTGGAGGAGTAGTACTTGTGTCAGTGGATTGAGAGAGTGTTTGGGGTTCTTGGGTAGGGGCAGGGACCTAGAATGGTGGAATGAGACCTTTGGTTCTTGAGCAGGAGAGGGAGGTGAGGTCGGGATTGATGAGCTGTAGCCTTAGGATGGATGAAAAAGGGAAGAAGCTGCATGCAGGGGGCTGAGTCAGGGAGAGGCAGGAGAGGGCCCAGGTGAGCAGATTTGGAGCTGGAAAGCAGGCTGTGAGAGGCTTTGGAGAAGTGGTCCAGTAGCAGGCTGACCACATAAACTGGTGGCAGTGCTCTCAGGCCAGGGATGGGAGAAGGTGGGGCCGCAGGCAACAGTGGGGATCAAAAGAGGGGAAGGAGCCACTGCAAAGTGTCTAAGGACTGGAGCAGTGCTGGAGATCAGTCCACTGTGATAAGACTAAGTATGTCCCTGGGGGATGTTGTCCGGGGAAGGGTTGTCAGGGAGGGCCCAGAGAGACTGGGGGCAGGGATGAGTTTGTCCCAGGAGGGCCGGCAGAGAAGACACAGTTGTTTAGGGAGAGCTACCAGAGTGGCTACGGGAGGGAATGAGGTTGTCTATGGAGAATGGGGCCGAGGAGGTTATCCAGGGAGGGCCTTCCTGATGCTTCTTGCTGCCTATAGGACACCCTGGATGCTTATCCCTGTGGCTCAGACCACACGCCCAGCCCCATGGCCAGCCGGGTCCCGCTGGAAGCCACACCAGTTCTGGAGTGGCCAGGGATTCAGCTAACAGCTGTGGCAGTCACCATGGAAGATGGACACAACATCGCCTTCCTGGGTGATAGTCAAGGGCAGCTGCACAGGGTGAGCCCACAGGAAGTACTAGCCCCTGCCCTAGAGTCTGGAGGGAACAGGTTGCTAGGGACCCAGCCTGGTTTAAGCTATCCCTGTGACCCCTGGGCCAGGAGAGATGACCTGAGCTCCTCTTCCCAGGGCTGGGTGGTGTTTCGCTGTGACTTTCCTACATCCTGCCCAGGAGGAAATTCTATCTGTAAATTACTTTGACTGGGTGGAGGAAAGGAGGGCTTTGGGCCTCTGGCCATGGACTTGGGTCCCAGACCCTGTGGTCTCTGATCCCAGGTCTACTTGGGCCCAGGGAGCAATGGCCACCCATACTTCACACAGAGCATCCAGCAAGGGTCTGCCGTGAGCAGAGACCTCACCTTTGATGGGACCTTTGAGCACCTCTATGTCATGACCCAGAGCACAGTGAGTGCCAGGCACAACCCAAGGCATAGCTGCTGGGTGGGGCCTCTGGGTGGGGTCAGAGATCCACTTGTGGGTGAGCCACTGGTGTTTGGATTGCTGGCTTCAGATCCTCTTTGTTGTCACAGCTTCTGAAGGTTCCTGTGGCCTCCTGTGCTCAGCACCTGGACTGTGCATCTTGCCTTGCTCATAGGGACCCATACTGTGGGTGGTGCGTGCTCCTTGGCAGGTCAGTGTTCCACTGACTCCTGACCATCCCAGCCCCAGCCTCAAGCCCACAGTGCTCCCACATAATTGTCCTGTCCAGAATTCCTGACCTTTGGCCCTTGACTCTCAACCCCTGTTCCCCAGACACCCTGATTCCCCACCCCCATCCTCTGCACTGGGCATTAGTGCCCTGCCAGGGCAGACACAGGAGCCTGTATCATGCCCACTCTAGAGTCCTGCCCAGGTCTTTCAGATTGTAGGAGTTCTACCCTCTGAACTCCCAGTGGCCTGTGAGGGTCACAGATAGACACTGGTCATTTTCGCTCAGGTGCAGTCGCCGTTCTGAGTGCTCGAGGGGCCAGGGCCCAGAGCAGTGGCTGTGGAGCTTCCAGCCTGAGCTGGGCTGCCTGAGAGTTGCAGCCATGAGTCCTGCCAACATCAGCCGAGAGGAGAGGAGGGAGGTGAATGATCAGATAGGCAGGGCCCTGGTGGGGAGGGCTCTGGGCATCGAGGTCTGGGTAGAGATCTTGGATTCTGGTGTCAGACACGCTGTATACCACATGGCTTCACACAAGTTACTTCTTTTAGGAGCTCAGTTTCCCTGTTTCTAACTCAGGCCAGAGGGTGTGTGGGGAGGCCTGAGGGCTGTTGACTGCTGGTGCCTGCCCACATTGGGTGCCCCATAAATGTGAGCCCTGGTCTGCTGCCCACTAGCCCCGACAGTGTGTCCCTGCCTCTCTTGGCAGGTTTTCCTATCAGTGCCAGACTTGCCACCCCTGTGGCCAGGGGAGTCGTATTCCTGCCACTTTGGGGAACATCAGAGTCCTGCCCTGCTGACTGGTTCTGGTGTGATGTGCCCCTCCCCAGACCCTAGTGAGGCCCCAGTGCTGCCAAGAGGAGCCGGTGGGTGAGAGAATGGGCCAGCCCCTCCTCCAGGGGATTCGGTGGGGTTAAGGTGTGAATCCAGGCAAAGAGCCATGAATGGATGCCTTTCTCTGAGTCCTCCCACTCCCCAACCACCTGAAGCCTCCATTCTGTGCCCTTGGACTGTGTTCCCTCACCCTGGGTTCTCTTCCCCATTCGGGGGCTCAGGATGTTGGCTCTGGGTCTGAGCGCACCTCTTAGCTGCTCAGCCCTGGCCCCCTCTTTCCCTTCTGCAGACCATGTCTCTGTGATCGTGGAGCTTAGGTTTGGCACCGTTGTGATCGCTAAAACTTCCCTCTCCTTCTATGACTGTGTGGCGGTCACTGAGCTCCATCCGTCTGCGCAGTGAGTTCCTTGCCCTATCCCCAGGCCTGGGCTGCCCCGTGGCGACCCCTGCCCCATGGCTGTGCTCTGTGCAGGTGCCAGGCCTGTGTGAGCAGCCGCTGGGGGTGTAACTGGTGCGTTTGGCAGCACCTGTGCACACACAAGGCCTTGTGTGACTCCGGGCCCATGGTGGCAAGCCGTCAGGTGAGTGTGACTCTGGGCTGGGCCATATGGGGGTTGGGGGGTCCCAGTGTGAGAGTTTTTCTCATGGCTCGGGGCCTGTCTGCCTATGTGAGGCTCTGTCCTGAGCACTGGGGCCGCTGTGTGTGATGGACTCCCTGGAGAACGGCCACCGATACATCCTGCCTGTTTTGGGAGAGGGCGTTTGTGGCTGAGAGGCAGGGGAGGTCTGGCCTTCCTGCCTACCTCGGCACAGACACCCCTGGAGCCTTTTCCTGCAGTGTTCTCCTGTGGAGAATTAATGGGCTGTTTTTATTTTTCTTTTCCTTGGTCTCCTTTCCTCTTAACATACCCTGTGCCTGCCTGCCTTCCTGCCTGCCTCCTGTCCCGCGCCTGCCTGCTGAGTGGCCCTTCCTGTCTTCCTCTGCCTCCCCCTTCAGAGCCCGCTTGTTTCCCTAGCCCCTCCTGCAAGAGACGGACCCAGCCCCTCCCCACCCACAGCCCCTAAAACCCTGGTCACCCCTGCTCCTGACACCCTTCCTGTGGAGCCTGGGGCTCCCTCCACTGCCACAGCTTCGGACATCTCACCTGGGCCCAGTCCTTCCGTGCTCAGCCCCTGGGGGCCGTGGACAGATCCTGGCCCCATACCACCCCCTACCTCTACAGAGTTACCTCTCCATGAGAAGCCCTCCCCTCCCAGCCCCTCAAATGGGTCTGGAACCGCTCTCCCTACCCCCACTGACTTCAGACCCACAGACATACCTGAGGACCTCTCGGCGTCCCCGCTGTCACCC